AACCCCCCCCCCCCTGAAAAGTAGAGCCTACCTGTACAGGGTTCCACTCCAACAGCTGATATAGTGTGTCCATGCTTGACTGCTTCAAGGCTCAAAGAGATATAGGATAAGACTCTGCGTGAGTAAAAGACACTAGCGGTCTGCACCTCTACCGTGTACGCCCTAGTCACTCTTTCAGTGGTAGCGGAGCAGTGATCCTGGAAGACCCAGGTGAGCTCCTTTCCTAGGCATAGAATTGCTTGTGGGCAAACGGCCATGGATTGGATTGACGACTGGGAAGAGCCTGATGCGGATGTGGCTTATGAGCCAGCAGCCTATGTGAATAGGCATGTGAGAAGAGAACCAGCAGCAATAGCAATGACAACACAGGTCACTACAAAGGTGCCCCCATCTTATGATGGAAAGACTTCATGGTTTTCCTATGAGGATGCCATAGACGATTGGTGTGATATCACCGAGCTGGAGGATGAGAAGAGAGGACCAGCATTGAGAAACAGATTAGAAGGAGAAGCAGCTGTATACAAGCGTGTTTTAGACAGAGATGCATTGAAGGCAAATGATCCACCAGGAGCCGGCGTAGAATATTTCAAACGAGTACTACGACCATATTTCGTGAAGGGATCAACCAATGTATTCCTGTATAGATTTATGCAATTCGTGCGCTTCAATCGAGGATCAGCTGACATGATGAAATGGATGACAAGATTCCAGATTTTACTCCAAAGGCTTATGAGCAGTTGGATGGACATGTTAGAACCAGTCACTCAAGCACATCCACAAGTCCTAGCACAGATGCAGGCAGATGCAGCGTTGACTGGAGTAGCACCAACGGCAGAAAGGATTCAGGAAATCATGCAGACCATCAATGGCAATATGAGGACTTTTCATCAGAACGAATTTCCTCTAGGAGAAAATCTGATTGCTTTACTCATGCTGTCACTTGCAGATTTGTCTCAGGACCAGCGAAACACTTTGACTTCTTTGATGACTCATCGTGGCAGGGTCCTGCAGCAATACACCACAACAGAGTTGAGGACAGTGTTCATTGAGATGTTCTGCACAACAAAGACTTCAGTAGACAATCCTTTGATGCAGCCAACAGGTGCTGGAGGCAGAAGATCATTTCTCGTACTAGACGAAGGAGAACTCGATGGTACATTTGGCTATTGGGCCGAAGATGAAGAAGATGGAACAGAAGGATTTTTAGATGCCCTGGACGATGTCTTTTGGGTATATGATGATCAAAACTTCTCGTGGTTCCAAAGGAGATTCCAAGGAAGAAGAGCCAGAAAAGGCAAAGGAAAAGGAAGAAGAAAAGGAAAAGGAAAAGGAAGATCAGGCCGCAGATTCTTCAGACCTCGTGGAAAAGGAAAAGGAAAGAGACGAGGTAAAGGCCATTTTGCTGATGAGCAACAGACAACATATCCAGAAGAGTACTTTGAAGAGAATCCTTATGAGGATACTTGGGAGTCAACCCAAGTAGCATATGATGCCATTCTTGCCGAGGATATGAATGACTATCTTCAAGGAGAATATGATGATGCCAATGACTTCTGGCAACAGCTTGAAGAAGCATGGTTTTCCCACAAAGGAAAAGGAAAAGGCAAGAGAAAAGGCAAGAAAGGAAAAGGAAAAGATAAAGGAGATGGCAAACAAGATGCAAACTATGCAAATCCACAACAGCCACGTTCTTTACCTGCACCTTCAAGATCTTCACAAGCATCAGGAGGTCAACAAGGTTTCTTTGCACATTGTGTGACAGCAGCAGCTGAAGTCCATGACAGTGAGGTGGACTTGCTGTCAGGCATGATGACCTCATGTCAAGATGAAGCTGACTGCGCGGTTAACAATGGTGAGACGATCTTCAATGGCATGAGTGCCCCTGTGAGGTACTCTTTGTCAAAGGAGATGCTCACAAAGGCTCCTGATGGCTTTGCGCTTATGAGCGCTGAGGAAGAAGTGAAGGAGATGCAGGCCATTTCATTTTTGACTGAGAATCGCTTCCCGCCGACTATTGCAATCCTGGACATTGGATGCACTAGAGCTATGGGATCAAGGCGAGCAGTCGACCATTTTTGCAACTATGTCGACAATCACCCAGATTGTGGATTATGGTACTCTTTTGAGTCTACCAAGAGCAAGTTTTACTTTGCCAATTCCCAGAAGGCTACTTGCTCTCAGAAACTGGTGATTTACATGTATGATCGTGCATGGACGATCCACCATACAGAGTTCGACATAGTGGAAGAAGGAGAAGTCCCTTTGCTTATGAGCTTGCCACAGATGAGGAACTTAGGCTTTGAACTCAGGCTGACACCTCAACATGCTTATCTGACATCGGTGCCTCTTGGTATCAAATATTTGGAGTTGAAGGTTGCAGCCAGTACTCATCTTGTCTTGGACTTCCAAGATATTGCATGGTATCTGTCTGACGTGAATTTGCAGACTCGGCGCGAGAAGAGTTTTTACTCTCACTTCACTCACTATGAATATGGTCATATTTCTGTTGACCTCAATAGTGATGAAGATGTAGCTGAACATGCATATCCTGTGGTTGACTACTGGGAAGTAGATGTTCACAAGAGAGAACTGATACGTCACCACAAGGATTATAGAAAGATTCTT